TGTTGTGTGTTTCGGTGGCGCTTGGAGCGAATGCTATTCCTTGATCTCTCCTCGGGAGTTTTGAAGCTATGCTGCTGGGCGAAGCCTGAAGCAAGTGCTAAAGCGAGCTTCTGCCTGGCTTCCTCCGCCTCTTTCTGCATCCGTTCAAAGCGGCTGGTCCAGTAGGCAATTTCTTCCTCGACTGCTTTCAAAGACTTTTCCTTGGACTTCCAATCCTTCATCTCTCTGGAGAGATAGGCGTAGATATTAAAACTAACAGACATAGAAAGCATGTATTAAAAATTATATATATTGAATATAGTATACTGTACTGAATATTATATATTATATATATATATATATATATATATATGTCGTACCTAGTAGCCAGAACTCACTTCTCAGCCTACTATTCAAGGCCCGATTTGCCTAATAAGCCAAGTTTTCCTGAATTAATATATTTACTATAATTTTTTTCTTATGAAATGATAAAGCAACCCTTTTCTCTATGTATGAGGTCAATTTTTTTTTATTGGAGTTAAAATTAACGTAGATATATGACCGAACCTAACCAACCCTACCTAACCTAACCTATATTTATAGGTAAGGTTAGGTTAGGTAGCCAAAAAAAGCTAGGTTAGGTTAGGTTAGGTTGGTTAGGTAGACGAAAAAACATTAATTCATGAAAACTTGGCTTATTAGGCAAATCGGGCCTTGAATAGTAGGCTGAGAAGTGCGTTCTGGCTATTAGGTACGACATATATATATATATATATATATATATATATATGTCGTACCTAGTAGCCAGAACTCACTTCTCAGCCTACTATGCAAGGCCCGATTGCCTAATAAGCCAAGTTTTCCTGAATTAATATATTTTCTCTAATTTTTTTCTTATGAAATGATAAAGCTACCCATTTCATTATGTATGAGGTAAATTTTTTTTATTGGATTTAAATTAACGTAGATATACGATCGAACCTAACCAACCCTACCTAACCTAACCTAACCTATCTTTATAGGTAATGTTAGGTTAGGAAGCCAAAAAAAGCTAGGTTAGGTTAGGTTAGGTAGGTTAGGTAGACGAAAAACATTAATTCATGAAAACTTGGCTTATTAGGCAAATCGGGCCTTGCATAGTAGGCTGAGAAGTGCGTTCTGGCTATTAGGTACGACATATATATATATATATATATATATATATGTCGTACCTAGTAGCCAGAACGCACTTCTCAGCCTACTATGCAAGGCCCGATTTGCCTAATAGGCCAAGTTTTCATGAAATAATGTTTTTTCGACTACCTAACCTACATAACCTAACCTAACTCTACCTTTTTAGGCTACGTAACCCAACCTAACCTATACAGCTGGGTTAGGTTAGGTTAGGTAGGGTTGGTTAGGTTCGGTCATATATCTATGTTAATTTTAACTACAATGAAACAAAATTGACCTCATACATAATGAAATGGGTAGCTTTATCATTTCATAAGAAAAAAATTAGAGAAAATATAATAATTCAGGAAAACTTGGCTTTTTAGGCAAATCGGGCCTTGCATAGTTGGCTGAGAAGTGCGTTCTGGCTACTAGGTACGACATATATATATATATATATATATATATATATTTATATATATATATACAGTATATATATATATATATATATATATATATATATATATATATATATATATATATATATATATATATATATATATATATATATATATATATATATATATATATATATATATATATATATATATATATATATATATATATATATATATATATATATATATATATATGACAATGTCAGACCACGGAGGAAAAATGAAACAGGAAATTTCCTTAAGTACTTTCGTATATTAAATACATCTTCAGAAGGTCCCTTTGACCTTCTGAAGATGTATTTAATATACGAAAGTACTTAAGGAAATTTCCTGTTTCATTTTTCCTCCGTGGTCTGACATTGTCACATTCTTAATCACGTGTTTATTTTCGTGATATACACACACATATATATATATATATATATATATATATATATATATATATATATATATATATATATATATATATATATATGTCGTACCTAGTAGCCAGAACTCACTTTTTGGCCTACTATTCAAGGCCCGATTTGCCTAATAAGCCAAGTTTTCCTGAATTAATATATTTTTTCTAATTTTTTTCTTATGAAATGATAAAGCTACCCATTTCATTATGTATGAGGTCATTTTTTTTTATTGGAGTTAAAATTAACGTAGATATATGACCGAACCTAACCAACCCTACCTAACCTAACCTAACCTATCTTTATAGGTTAGGTTTAGTTAGGTAGCCGAAAAAGTTAGGTTAGGTTAGGTTAGGTAGGTTAGGTAGTCGAAAAACAATTAATTCATGAAAACTTGGCTTATTAGGCAAATCGGGCCTTGCATAGTAGGCTGAGAAGTGCGTTCTGGCTATTAGGTACGACATATATATATATATATATATATATATATATATATATATATATATATATATATATATATATATATATATATATATATATTTATATTTATTTATTTTGTTGAATATGACCAAAAAATTAAGATTAATAATTCTAACACAAATTTTTCTTAGAAAACAGTCCAGTTTTCTCTTGAAGATGTCCATGGTTGTTCCAGCAATATTTCTTATAGTCGCTGGGAGGATGTTGAACAACCGTGAACCTCTGATGTTTATACAGTGTTCTCTGATTGTGCCTATGGCACCTGTGCTTCACTGGTTCAATCCTGCATTTTCTTCCATATTGTTCACTCCAGTACGTTGTTATTTTACCGTGTAGATTTGGGACCTGGCCCTCCAGTATTTTCCATGTGTATATTATTTGGTATCTCTCTCGTCTCCTTTCTAGAGTACATTTGGAGAGCTTTGACTGAGCCCTCACTGTTGCTCTCCCCACACACCCTCACTGCTATTCCCCCCCCCCATATCCTCACTTCCTTCTTTCCCGCCTACCTTCACTGCCTCCCCATCCCCCCCTCCCAAGAGACCCTTCTGGTAGGTGGCTCAGTAGAATGCCAGCCAGAGATAGCCTGGAGACTTTCCATCTAACACAATAAAGAATTCATGAAACAAGTACTTTTATAACTTTTTTATCTTAATAATATTACTAAACAAAAGCTGTAACCAAAAATATCTATGATGATGAACATCCAGAATTTAAGAAACAAATCTGGGTAATGGGGTCGAGCGTAATAGGCTTATTGGATTGAGCCCGTCCCTCCCCCACCACCGACACACTTCCCCCACCACCCCTACATCCCATACACACTCATTGTTCAAGGTCACGTAGTTCAACTGTCCGTAAGTCATAAGTAAAAATGTATTTGTTTAATTAATAAACAGGAAGCAATAAAACATGTTAATGATTATTGATGTATGTATCATAATACATTTACTTAATCAATTACTTAACACAAAAATCAACATATAATGGCATAAATATTGTACAGCTAAGATATAAATTTTAATACAGGCGGGATGCTTTGGTGTCTGGTGTTTTGTCAGCGAATTAACACACTAACTTCATATCACACATTCCTCGCTACCTCTCTCTCCTTCACTGCCTCTCTCTCCTTGCCTGCCTCTCTCTCCTTGCCTGCCTCTCTCTCCCTGCCTGCCTCTCTCTCCTTGCCTGCCTCTCTCCCCTTGCCTGCCTCTCTCTCCTTGCCTGCCTCTCTCTCCCTGCCTGCCTCTCTCTCCCTGCCTGCCTGCCTCTCTCTCCCTGCCTGCCTCTCTCTCCCTGCCTGCCTCTCTCTCCCTGCCTGCCTCTCTCCCTGCCTGCCTCTCTCCCTGCCTGCCTCTCTCCCTGCCTGCCTCCCTGCCTGCCTGCACCTCCCTCCCTGCCTGCCTGCACCTCCCTCCCTGCCTGCCTGCACCTCCCTCCCTGCCTGCCTGCCTGCACCTCCCTCCCTGCCTGCCTGCCTCTCTCCCCCTCCCTGCCTGCCTGCCTCCCTCTCCCTCCCTGCCTGCCTGCCTGCACCTACCTCCCTGCCTGTGCCTTCCTCCCTGCTTGCCTCTCCCTCCCTGCCTGCCTCTCCCTCCCTGCCTGCCTGCACCTCCCTCCTTGCCTGCCTGCACCTCCCTCCCTGCCTGCCTGCACCTCTCTCCCTGCCTGTGCCTCCCTCCCTCCCTTGGCCTGCTGCCTCCCTGCCTGCTTACCTGTCTCTCCCTGCCTGCCTGCCTGCCTGCCTATCCCTCCCTGCCTGCCTCTCCCTCCCTCCCGGCCTGTCTCTCTCCCTGCCTACCTGCCTGCCTCCTAGCCTGCCTCCCAGCCTCTCCCTGCCTGCCTGCCTGGCTTCCAGCCTCTCTCTCTCCCTCCCTGCCTGCCTGCTTCCCTGCCTACCTCCCAGCCTTTCCCTCCCTGCCTGCCTGCCTACCTCCCAGCCTTTCTCTCCATGTCTGCCTGCCTGCCTCCATCCCTGCCTCTCCCTTCCTGCCAGCCTATCTACCTACCTCCCAGCATCTCCCTGCCTACTTCCCTGCTTGCCTGCCCACTCTGCCCACCCATCCACCCACCAGTCAGCCATCACTGACACAATGAGTGCATTTGGAGCCAACATAGTGCATAGATGTTCCTTGATTGCACAGATATGTCCAACAAAGTCACGGAATGAACACTCCAGCATCGTGACAAATCAAAACAATGTGTTGTGAATCTGTGATGTCACAGGGTAGAAGGGACTAGAGTGGTAAACCCAAGTGGCTGTCTGTACAAAATATATCTTACCTAAATGCTACTTGAAATATTACCGACACTTCAACAACTTCGGAAATACCGGAGCCCCGCATTTAATAACCTAGGTACAGCCCCATATAGGCCATTAAATCGAGTGGATACTTTATATATTATAAATATATATGTATGCAATAACCACACTATTAACACAAGAAGATATGGCTGCATATTGATCACTGTCTTGCTATATACATACATGGGAGCCCTGGCACCAGGGGCGCTGCTGGTGGAAGTGTCGATGTCTGTCATGGTCGCCTGGAGGTCCCAGAGTTTCTCTTCCAGACCAGAGAGGCGCTCCTGGATCCTGGCGGCCGCCACCTCCCTCGCCAAGAGCCGACGCTTGGCCAAGAAGGCGTTGCTGATATTAGCAAGTACCGCTTGCTCTGCCGCCTATTCCATGATGTGGAAGGGCATTGGGGGTTGGACAAGGGCCAGAGGAAGGTAAAGATAATACAGAGGCAGAGGTGATAGTAGGAGGGAGGTCATTGAAGAAGGAATCAGAGAGAAGAGATGGATAAGGAGGGGAGAGGGAGGGAGGGAGAAAAAGATCTTTAAGTTATAATCATGATGACAGATGATATTCCTTCATCACAAAGCCCAAACCTTCAAGCATGCGCACGCACACACACACATGCATGCACACACATACACACAATATATTATATATACAGTGGTACCTCCACTTACAAATATAATCTGTTCCCAGAGGCGGATCGTAACTTGAAAATTCGCAACGCGAAACAAATTGTCCCTTAAGAAATAATGTAAATTGAATTAATCCATTCCATACCCCTAAAAATATTAACTTAAAAATAAATTTTGTACCAAATACCACTCTTTTTGTACAAGGTACAATACAGTATGTATATCTTACCTTTATTGAGAACTCTTGTTGGCATGTGGAAGATGGTGAGGAGGGGGGGGGGGGGGGAACGTGAGGTGTTACTGTTTGGAAGGGGGAGTCCCCTTCCATTATAACATCAGGCAGTGATGACTTTTCTTGGGTACTCTCCTATGTTTAGCAGGCACTAGGACCTGGTTGTGGCTCACTGCTTGCTTGTGTTACTAAGAATCTGTCTAAAGATACTTATTTTCCCCTACATTTTAACACTTGTCTGTAGTGAGACATCACATTGTCATTCAAAATATCAATGCAACAGCCTGCTACAACTTTATCTGGGTGAGTTTTTTTCAACAAAACTTTGCAGTTCTTCCCATACTTCACACATTTTCTTAATGAGGAAAGGATAGCCTCAACTGCCTCTACTCAACTATTTTCTTAGGTTGAACCTTACCACTGGCTTTCTTGGGACCCATGGCGTGATATATATAATAATTATTTTTATGTTCAAAAACCAGAAAGGCAAAAAACATAGAATTCAAGTAGGATCTTCACTAGGGGAGAGACACTGGTCAGCTGAAGCACCCCACACTCTCATTCAACCCATATGTGTATCAACAAAGTCGCAAGTCAAACTAAATGTCGTAAGTCAAGTCGAATTTTCTGTCGAAATTGGGGTCGTAACCCAAAAAATTCGTAAGTAGGGGCATTTGTAAGTCGAGGTTCCACTATCTATATATATATATCTATATATATATATATATCTATATATATATATATATCTATATATATGTCGTACCTAGTAGCCAGAACGCACTTCTCAGCCTACTATGCTAGGCCCGATTTGCCTAATAAGCCAAGTTTTCATGAATTAATTGTTTTTCGACTACCTAACCTACCTAACCGAAACGCTTTGCGTAATAGTGGCTTTAGGCATTGTATGTACTAGCTCTATCTATAAAGCCAACAAACTTTGTAAAATCTCTTTATGTATGTACCTTACCTAAATAAAATTATTATTATTATTATTATTATTATATTATTATTATTATTATTAACCTAACCTAACTTTTTCGGCTACCTAACCTAACCTATAAAGATAGGTTAGGTTAGGTTAGGTTAGGTTAGGTAGGGTTGGTTAGGTTCGGTCATATATCTACGTTAATTTTAACGCCAATAAAAAAAAATTGACCTCATACATAATGAAATGGATAGCTTTATCATTTCATAAGAAAAAAGTTAGAGAAAATATATTAATTCAGGAAAACTTGGCTTATTAGGCAAACCGGGCCTTGCATAGTAGGCTGAGAAGTGCGTTCTGGCTACTAGGTACGACATTATATATATATATATATATATAAATATATATATAAATATATATATAAATATATATAAATATATATAAATATATATAAATATATATATATATATAAATATATATATAAATATATATATATATGTCGTACCTAGTAGCCAGAACTCACTTCTCAGCCTACTATTCAAGGCCAGATTTGCCTAGTAAGCCAAGTTTTCCTGAATTAATATATTTACTATAATTTTTTTCTTATGAAATGATAAAGCAACCCTTTTCTCTATGTATGAGGTCAATTTTATTTTATTGGACTTAAAATTAACGTAGATATATGACCGAACCTAACCAACCCTACCTAACCTAACCTAACCTATATTTATAGGTAAGGTTAGGTTAGGTAGCCAAAAAAGCTAGGTTAGGTTAGGTTAGGTAGGTTAGGTAGACGAAAAAACATTAATTCATGAAAACTTGGCTTATTAGGCAAATCGGGCCTTGAATAGTAGGCTGAGAAGTGCGTTCTGGCTATTAGGTACGACATATATATATATATATATATATATATATATATATATATATATATATATATATATATATATATATATATCTTTTTTTTAAGGCAAAATAAATGATGGAAATATAGTGAGCTTAATTGCAGAAGGAGTAAAGCATTTTTTCATATTTTTGATCCATATTCCAGCCCTTTGCATAGCATTCAACAAACACTCACACACACATAGCATAAGAGCCAGTGCAGGTAAAGCAATAGCAAGAGAGCTGTGGGAAGCACCGTTTACCACTGTCTCTGCTGGCTGTTCCTTGCTCACCCAGAGCCCTCTTGGAATCCAATTCTTCCTGGAATCATCCTCCTGTCAAGCGTTAAGGTCAGTATAATTAGGTCTGTTCTAGTGGTGGGAACAAGACCAAAGTGTGGTAGGGTGTCCTGGTGGTGGGTTTGTGAATGTGTGTGTGTGTGTGCGCACTTGTGTGTGTATGTACAATGAGTATGTTAATTAAAAATACAAATTACAAAAACCCCTTAAACAGAATCAATTCCACATGTACTACTAATGTTATTGAAGATAATTGTATCCACATTACAGAGGCACATTATACTCTACAGGTTAAATAAGAGTGGAGGACAGAATTACACAGAAAATAATCAACCTGTTCATGCTGTCATAGGCTGATAGCGGTGTAGTACCTGAGCAATGTATGGTCCCCTCCAGCAAATGACGACGTCTCTGGCTTGTGTTGACGATGATCGTGAAGAGTTATTAGATGAAGATATTAGCATTTCTTTGTCTTTTACTAATCCAACACCCGACGGTCGTACATTGACCGATCGACTGGTTAAGATATTCAGCTCGGGAGACGACACTGGTGAATACAGCTCCTTAAAGACGTTGGACGTTTTTCTTAGAGGAGACTTCTTGGCCACTGCCGAGTCCTCAATGGGCTCTGCTGATGGCACGTGGATAACTTTAGGACTCGAACCACTTGACTGATTTATTTCAAAGTTTTTCTTGAGTTCCTTTACTGGCTGAATTCTGAGAGGATCCTGCTGTGAATGATGCTCCATGTCATTGTCGCTTGTGTCTCCCTGCACTTCCTGGCTGCTACTTAAATCCCCGCCAATAAATGATTTTCTTGTACCTCTTCGCACGGTGGACCTTCGAGATGCGACTCCCTCAATAGAACGCTTCTTCTTCACAGTCCCCCTAGACGACTTCTTGCGAGAGATGGGCGTCTTGGTTGTGAGTCTTCCACCCTTGTTCTCGCCGCTGACAGAGCACAATAACTCAAATTTTTCTTTAGTAGCTGCAACCGACCAGGTAATTCTCGGTATCTTCTCAGAACCATCTTTCTCAGGTAGTGAGGTTTCGCTACTGCTCAAGTTCCCCTCATATTTAGACTCCTGGGTATTGATTAGATGTTTGTAGCTTGCGCCACTGTTGCTATCAGACAAGTGCTTGTTACTTGTGTTCTCGATGATTTCAATGGGCCTTGACTGGTTAAAGTGGAAGTCGGAAAATAATAACTTGGAGGATCTGCTTGGGAGAGAAGCCCTCCCTTCAAACTGGTTTGTCGGCTCAATTACTTTCGTTTGGCTTCCTGATTGACAGGTCAAGATTCTATCCTGAGTAATTTGATTTTTGTGATACCACTGATCTGAGGAATTAGTCTGGGAGAGAGTCTCACTTCCATACCTCTGCATTTCAGTGACTTTTGTGTCCATTCGAGCCTTCACAGAAGACTCTTGCAAAGAAGATTCACTTGCACTAATGATGCGACTAGACCGATTGAGCTGTCCTGCAGGACGGCGTTTGTTTGATGGAAATCCTGGAAGGTCATTTACTATAAGGAAGTTGTCAACGGTATCTGTGCTACTGTTCTGGTAGCTGACGTCGGTATGGGCAGACAGTCGACGCAGAGGTGGGTGATGATTCTTGATTGTAACAATTTTCTTGTTAGTTTCTTTTTCCATCTGCCATGTGTGCATTTTCACACTCTGCTCCTTACAACTGTCTCCCTGGGAAAACTGCTGAATTTTCTTTTGAATTTCAGAAAGTTTTTTTGCATTTTTTCTATGTTCATTCAAAGTTTCGCTGAAATCATTAACATTACTCTGTGTTTGATTCCATCCGTCGCTGACCTTGTCCAGTTGTCGCTGAGAAAAGGACGTTTGTAAGCCATCGACATCATCAATATCTTCCTCGGCTCTCGTGTTAGGTGTGTTGTCGAGGTCACCAAGACACACATCAGCACTACTGCCTAGGGCTTCTTCTTGCCTCTTGGTGGCAGAAATTTTATTTCCTAAATCACCATTGGGTAATTCTTCCTTTTCTCTATGTTCTTTCATTGAATCTCTCAGTTCCTGTTCATCTTTATTTTCAGTATATTGTCTCTTTTCATCTTCTTGTTTATTATCTTCATTTCCTTCATTTTGTTCCTTTCCTTCCACTTGTTCTTTTTCTTGTTCTCTTTGCTCATCATCCTTCTTCTCTTGGCCCTGCACACGAGTGGATGGGTAGAGGGTAAGATCGGCTTGCTGATTCTCTGGGGTCACCTTCAGTATTTCGTCAGATAACTTGTGGATCCACATCATCATTTCCTCTTTTGACGCAAGCTGAAGACAACAGAAAGTAAAAAAAAATTATAGTGCAATAAACGGAGACCTGGCAAAATGAAGCTGGAACAGATGAAGACAGAAGTTTCAGACCACCCACTGAAGCACTCACAGATAGTAAGTACACAGTGTTGCAGATCTGAACACACTTTGCAAAAATACTTGCAGACAATAATGGGAAATAATAATCACAATTAGTTTTGTCGAGGACAGGATATCTTATGTATACTGTATATATACTTAAGGTCACCCTAAGGTGTTCCCCTAAGATTGAACCACACACACTCTCCAGGCTGCAAATTCAGAACAGCACCCTAACTTCCAGGAACCTAATTACTGCTAAGTGAACGGAGGTATAAAGGTAGGTTAAGTCTGATCAAATAATTATGTTAGGTTTGACTCAAATAACATAAAATTGCAATCATATATAATACAATGAAAACTTTAGCATTTCATATGGAAAAAATTGGAAAAATTGTAAATTCATTATAAATAAAGTGAAATACTGTATTTAATTTATCCACATTTTTTTATGAAATTATAGTTTTTTCATTGTATTTGAGTACCACCTCTTGTGCAATTGTTGGGACCCATAGCCCAAAAAAAAGAGAATAAAAAGTACTCAGAGAAGACCTTGTGGATTTTCACTGAACACTTTAGTATTTTCTTCTACCACCCCTACCTTTTTTTATTATTTTATATGTGATTTATATTATTTATTAATTTTATTACATTGTGTTACGTTTTACATTGTGTTACGGTTTTACATTGTGTTACGGTTTACAAAACACACACACATAGCAATCACTGTTCATAGACCTCATTCAACTCTTCTGAGGTGGGGTTTGTGTCCCAAGATACAGCAAGCATTTCCTCTCTAGATCGTGACATTGAGGTGCTGGAACAAGAAACTGTCCGCTCTTGAGTCTATAGTTTGTCTAATAATGTATTATACGATGGCCTGACAGCTGAGTGGACAGCGCTTTGGATTCGTAGTCCTGAGGTTCCAGGTTCGATTCCCGGTGGAGGCAGAAAAAAAATGGGCAGTTTCTTTCACCCTGATGCCCCTGTTACCTAACAGTAAATAGGTACCTGGGAGTTTGACAGCTGCTACGGGCTGCTTCTTGCGGGTGTAACAAAAAGGAGGACTGGTCGAGGACCGGGCAGCAGGGATACTAAGCCCGAAAATCATCTCAAGATCTCAAGCTTTCTACTGAGTAGTTCTAGATTAAAGTTAGGAGACTATTAAGAGTTTAGATCTGTATATAACATACATTTAAGCCTCTTAATTTGTCAAGTTTTGCAATATAGATGATAATTATTACAGACAGACAATATTCACCACATACCTCAGACCAATCCACGAAATATGAAATCAATTTAATTCAATTATGAGAAACTTAATATACATCTCGAATACTTTCAGTGCACCTTGATATAAATGTTAACAGGTTATTCCCATAATTAAAAAGGGTGTACCAAAAGTCCCCACTAAAGTGTCCATTGCCCTGGCCAATCCCTCCATCTGAACACAGGAACCATTTGACACCCTCGCCCTGACAACCACTGCAATTTACTTGGCTACCAACTTGCAATGACATTTATCATGACTACTGTCGTGAAATGGGACACGTATCATGATTACCTTTACAAAACCGGAGGCTTACCTTGAGTACCATCATGCAACGAGAGACTCGGGAGATGGAGAGAACATGGGGGTGTAGACTTCCCAGGATGGGCGTGACTGAGAGGGCTCTGAGGCTGATTCTTGAGGAGGGCGTCGTAGACCCCAGGAGGAATGCCATCACGTGTCCGTCTCGCACCTCAACACGTCGAGGACTCATCTTCCCATTGATGCTCCCTCCGACCTCCACTTGGCCTGAAATGGATGGAGTGACATGAGTAGGGAAAAGAAGTAAGAGATGGAGAATGAAGAAAAGTGGAGAATGGGAAAATAATAAAAGTGAGGAAGGAAATAATAAACGTGTATGACGATGAGGAGACAGAAAATATGCATGGAGGAGAAGGCTTAAAGTTAAAGGCTTCAAGGTAATAGGAAAGTTAGGAGATAGTTACGGTTAATGAATTAGGGATTAGTTAGATATATTGAACTAGTTCAGGGACCAAGTTTTGCCGTTAAGAACACAGGTCATGTCTTAGTTCCTCACGCACAAGTTCTGTCATTGCAACATCCATGCTAATGTGACTGACACTTTCAGGCAGCCACCTTCCCCCAAACTAAAAATTACTTGGGTTAAAAGTGCCAATGGAACCCCTGCACTCTGCCAAAAACTGGGGGGGGGGGGTCTGTGCAATTAATTTCGTTTAGACTTTCCACAGAAAACGGAATTTGCTGATAGTATCAGAGGAGGTTGTTACAGCAAAAATTTATACAGCATATCATTACATGGGAAATTAGTTATTAGGACCTTGAAGCTGGACGCTCAAATAGTCTTTACACAATATGTGGGTGAAACATTTTAAATTATTTAACACAGGAAATAAGTGAAACACTTTTCAATAAAATTTTCAATGAATAAATATAAATAAAAAATAAAATAAATATGTTTATTCAGGAAGGGTACATACATACAAGTAATGTTACATTAATGGATCGATATATAGATAGAGCTAGTACATACAATGCCTAAAGCCACTATTACGCAATGCGTTTCGGGCAATAGCTATTCAGCCAAAAATAATCATCGCTAAAGTAGGTCACAATATCATGGATAGTAACATTTCATTCATTTAGAACATTGGAGCCTCGAACTGTAGACCACACAAGCAGCAGCCTGCACATCTATCTACTGAGCCATCAGTACCCACAATAAGGATTCCAGAGACATCTATCAGATGTCCAGTCAGAAAGTTAGGCCTTTTCTGGGGTGCCACTTTGATATGAAGGTGTTAGGTGATCTTTGTCCTAGTCATATAAATTGCTAACCACCATAACATGGATAATAACATTTCCTTATTACGTGTGCTGGTGGCTCAGTAGGAAGAGCTGCGGGCTGCTGCTTATGTGGTCTGCAATTTGAGGTTCCAATGGTCAAAGTGAATATTTTTATGTCTTCCCCTTCCATCTCTCTCACTCTCCCACCCCTTCCTCTACCACTCACTCACTCTCTGTATATGTATGTATGTGTATATATATATACTGTATGTATATATATATATATATATATATATATATATATATATATATATATATATATATATATATATATATATATATATATATATGTCGTACCTAGTAGCCAGAACGCACTTCTCAGCCTACTATGCAAGGCCTGATTTGCCTAATAAGCCAAGTTCTCCTGAATTAATATATTTTCTCTATTTTTTTTCTTATGAAAAGATAAAGCTACCCATTTCATAATGTATGAGGTCAATTTTTTTTTATTGGAGTTAAAATTAATGTAGATATATGACCGAACCTAACCAACCCTACCTAACCTAACCTAACCTATCTCTATAGGTTAGGTTAGGTTAGGTAGCCAAAAAAGTTAGGTTAGGTTAGGTAGTCGAAAAACAATTAATTCATGAAAACTTGGCTTATTAGGCAAATCGGGCCTTGCATAGTAGGCTGAGAAGTGCGTTCTGGCTACTAGGTACGACATATATATATATATATATGACCGAAAATAATAATATATATAAATATATATATATGACCGAAGAACACACACACATATATATATATATATATGTGTGTGTGTTTGTGTGTGTGTTTGTGTGTGTTTGTGAGTGTTTGTGTGTGTGTTTGTGTGTGTGTTTGTGTGTGCATGCGTGCGTGCGTGCGCGTGCTTATTTTGGGGAATCTCGAAGTACTAAAAAAATCTCAGAATGACTCACCAGAGATAACAAGTGGTGCATTAGGATCTACCATTGTTTGTCGCTTGACGGACGAGTTTGTAACTTCTGAAGATTTCCTCTTACTTCTGACGTCTTCCTTCGTCAATGAGGCGTCGTTCTTCTTTGGCAATGAACTGAAAAATATTGAGGTAAAGATTCCCTTCTTTTTTATGGGAGACAGTTTACTAGAGGGGTCCAATGTCTTTGTTTGTGAGGCGACAAACGAATCCGGCATCTTTTTCTTCGAGGAAGAAGGCAATGATGTGCCCTCTGACGATGGTGCCATTTTCTTCGATAGAGTTCCTGATTTTGAATCTGTCTTCTTATTATCCAGCTTCCCTGGGCCTATGGTGGTCTCAAGAGCTTTTTTCTTCACTTTAGGACTTGCAGGAATCGTCCATGGCTCTTCCTTTTTTTTCCTACTGCTTTTTAAATCAGGGTTCTTGGTAGTTGAATTTGCACTTACCCCGATCTTCTTGATCATTGCGTCTGTACTCAGGGCTAATGTAGTCTCAGGGGAGCAGGAGGGCTGCAATGTTTCAGTCTCGTTCATGTCAAGGTTAAATTGCACCCTTTTGGTCGCCACAGTGTTAGAGGATGATGTCCCTCTTTTCTTGATAATTGAGTTAACCCTCTTCAGTGTTCGCTCCTCGCCAGAGAACTTGGAAGGAAAATCGACAGAGTCTTCTACAGCGTGACCATTTTCTTTGACTGTCACTTCAGGACCAACTTGAGAAGTATTTTCAATTTCCCCAAGTTCTTCACTTTCTCTATAATGTTCTGTTTGTAGCTCTCTCTGAGAACTATTATTTAGTTCATTGTACAGTTGTTCAAATTTCTCTTCACTGTCGCTGAGTATTTCACTGACAAAATCTCCCATTACAGTTTCCCTGTTTTCTTCTTTTTCTTCACTTTTAGCCTGCAATTTATTCTCAGTTGTAATAGTGTCTTTGTCATTCTCGCTCTGGTGATCATTGAAAGAAGAAAGAGAGTCACTTGAGAGGGAGTCGAGGTAGGAGTTGAGACCATTACTCAGATACAGGTCTTGAGGGCTAGCTTCTGGAGGCACTCCACTTCTTTCAGGGTCCATAGACAAATCTCTCTCCAACTTTACTTTACTGGATAAATACTTGTGGTTCTCATCAAGCAATTCTTCTTTGAGTTCTTCTTTTTCTTCTTGGCTTAATATAACATTATCAGAGAAGTGCCTATTTTCTGGCAAACTATCTGACTTATTACTCTCCTTATCCAATACGTGATTGAAAATTGGTTCACACTCACCCTGAGCAACGTCTTTATCAGGTACACTTTTCTCTTGATTATGATCCTCAACTTCCTCTGAACTCTTATGGTTGGTATATGATGAAGGTTTAGCTCCAGCTATCTTTCCATCTTCATTAGTGATCACCTCACTGCAAGCATCTTTACGTGCACTATCAACTTCTTGAAGAGACTCACTGGACCTATAAGCTTCCTCCTGTGCGACTTTGGAGATCTCGTCCCCTTCGTCGTCACTACCTAAAGATGACTGATGCTTCTGTTGTCCATCAATTTCATCATCATTCTCTATTTCATCAACATTAGGGAGGAGAATCTGTGACTCTGTTGACTGTATTTGGTCCTCCAGGATCACGCGCGGGGGTTTAGGCAGGGGATTAACCTTCCCATCCGAGCTCTGATTGGATATGATGCTGTGAGTACTCAGTGCTGGAGAGGCCTCTGAGATGCTGCTGCTGCTACTGTATGTGAACAGTTGCTTACCTTCAGTGGTAGCCTCATCGTCGTCATTGCTGCTGGGCAAATCAAGTTCAGAGGAGTAGAGAGGATTGCTTACCACGCCAGTACTCAAGTCGTAAATGGATTCATTGATTTCCTCGAGCTCTTCTTCGTCCTTGTTCTTCTCGCGTTTTATTGTAAGATCTTCGTCATCGTCCTCCTCCTCGGCTTGCTGTCCATCATCAGTGACGATGCCAAGTGATGTGCTGCTGCCATTGTGCTCTTGCATCTCTTTCATAGCTTTTCTCTGCATCTTTATCTCTCTTTGTCTCTCTTCATCCTCCTTCTGCTCCTCGTTTTGCTGCTTCCTCAAGTTCTTCAGAAGCATTATGGCGTCAAGGCCTGTCACAGTTGCCCCAGATGATGACAGAGCCTGGTTATGAAGAGAAAAGTTTTATTAGAATATTCAGTATAAATAATGAACCCCTGTCCATGATGCTAATGCTTCCTGAAGGTCAGGCCTTAGCGCTGGTCTAAAGATATAACACAATATGAAGCAAAAATTATTATTTCTTTACTAATACATTGAAAAACTCAATTTTTAAATTGAGTAAATTCAACTAAAACTTAATTGACAATTTTATGAAGAAATTTATATAAGAAGAAACTGTCAGTAATATTTAATTTTTCCAATTGCAATTTATTTATAAAAATCAGCCTTAGCCAGTTGTATTTTTCAGAAGCACATCAAATACAAGATTTAATGTTTACAAAATACACATCCATGGAAACCCAACATCCCTGGGAAACCCAGACAGGTCTTTGGCTGCTTCAGACAAGCCTTAGGCAACTGTCTCACGATAGTACATAATGATTCACCTGGTAGAGCGCCTTCAGCTGACCTAGCAAGACTATGAACTCGAGTTTGATCCTCACAGTAGACGCAATGAAAGTTTCTGATCATATTGAAGGTAGTTTCCAAAGGATTATCATATCCCCACCTGCATGTTGTATTATCCCATCTGGCAAACAAATATATATTAACCAGTCTGGCTCACAAATATCCCTACCTGAATGTTGTATGCATAAAATGCATGCATGTCTGGCTCACAAAAATCTGCCACATGCCACTACCCCACCATATGATTCATATAAGATGGGCTTATAAGAATCATGTCGTATAAGCCCATATGGCACACAAATATGACTGACAGGTGGGCATAGTCAGGTATCTGATTGAGGATGTGACTCAAGACCCATCAAGAGCCTCACTGATAACACTGACAGTGGACAACTTTCCCCGATATGAACCCTCTGTGAACTTAATATGAACCTCCTGTAAAGCTACTGAGAACCTGCTTAGAACCTGTTGAGAATTAGCTTGGAAACATCTGTTTCCCAGCTAATGTTTATCAACATTAGTTGACAAACACCTGAGAACCAGGGGTGAGAATTTGCTGAAACCTACTTGCGAACTGTTGAAAATCTGCTAACAAACCAGTTAGCAGAACATACTAAATACTCTACCACTCATCACCTTCCTTACCCTTCAACACCTCTACCATTCACCAACTTCCCTACCTTTCACTACCCCTCTACTCTTACTCTGAGTGGTAGAGAATGTGGTTAATGGTACGGAAGGCAGTGAAAGCTAGGAGAGAAAGGTAGGAGAGAGAGAGAGAGAGAGAGAGAGAGAGAGATGAATGAAGAACCTCCCGAGTGTAACTGCTTAAACTAATAATAGAATGCAATTACTGTATTTCTCTGACAGAAATTAATAATTAGAAATAAACAATAATTCAGAATAAAAAATGCCATCCATTGATATTAATAATTAAAAAAAATTGTAATAACAATTAATTTGTAATTTATAAAAATAATTTATTTAAATAGCCTAATTTTAAGGATATTTTGAGAACATGTACTAAAAGTTCAAGGGGTCTTAATAAAAATTAGCAAACACATAAATGTAAAAGATAACGATACTGTTAATGCATCTGATAAGAAAAGTGTAGGTGTTGCTCAGTCCTCTTCATATGATGGGGGGGGGGGAGGTACTCCAGGTGCAGGAGGGTGTGTCGTCCCTGCTCTGAACACCTGTGTCTCACACCTGTTTGGCACCCTCCAGCATAGGTGTGGTTACGAGAATGAATGGGCAGAAGAGGAGGATGGTGGGGTGTGAGAGAGAGATTAGAAAAAGAGAGAGGCATCATAGGACAAATTATTGAGATAAGTGATTAGAGAAGGGGTGAGAGACAGGTGAGGGAAGGAGAGGAATGATATAACATGTAGAGAACAATAAATATTATTCAGAAAATGATAGGAAAAAAATGGAGATATTCAGAAAAGAGTGGGGGAACGAGAGTGGAGAAAGAAACAGGGTTGGAAAGGGGATAAGCAAAAGTGGATAACTGGAAGGGAAATGTTGTTAGAAGTGATACTGAACTTAAAATTGAAATATAAAACCATTCACTTTCCTCTCCCCACACAAAGCCCCCATTTCCCTTTCCCCATTAAACCCCCATTTTCCTCTCCCACAAATACCCCCCCTTCCCTATCCAACACAAACCAAAAACACTCCCTATTACCCTCTCCCACACAAACCACCTTTCCCCACACCCACCCATCAACCTCCCCCACACCCACCCATCACCCTCCACCACATCCACCAATCACCCTGCCCACACCCAGTTATTACCTTCCTCCATACCCCACCCATCACCATCCCCCACACCCAGCAATCACTCTCCCCCATACTTGCCCATCACCCAGCCCACACCAACCCCTCACCCTCCTCCACACCCACCAATCACCCTCACACCCACCTATCACCCTGCCCACACCCACCCACCGTTCTCCCCAACACCAGACATCACCTTACACCATAGCCTACCCACCACTACCTTGCACCATAGCCTATAGCCTAGCCGGGGAACTGACAGGGTGAACAAAGACAAACTATTCAGCACAGGTGGAACACGAACAAGGGGACACAGGTGGAAACTTAGTACCCAAATGAGCCACAGAGACGTTAGAATTTTTTCAGTGTCAGAGTAGTTAATAAATGGAATGCACTAGGAAGTGATGTAGTGGAGGCTGACTCCATACACAGTTTCAATTATAGGTATGCTAGAGCCCAGTAGGTTCAGGAATCTGTACACCAGTTGATTGACGGTTGAGAGACGGGACCAAAGAGAAAGCTCAACCCTCGCAAGCACAACTAGGCGAGTACCACCCTCCCCCCCACACCCACACATCACCCTGCCCCCACAACACCACCTACACATCACCCTTGCCCTCACCCACCCATCACCCTCCCCCATACCCACCCATAATCCTGCCCCAATACCCACCCACCAACCACCCATACACCCACCCTCCCCAACATCCACTCATCACATTCAGCAATCACCCTCCCCCCCATATCCACCCATCACCCTCCCCCACACCCACCCATCACCCTCCTCCACTCACCCATCACTCTCCCCAATCACACAGGACAACATGACAACAGAGCTACTCACCACCATCAGCTGAGAGGTGGTGGTAAAGACTCACCTCTATCATCCTGGCCTGTTCGTAGGTAGTGTTGAAGGAAAAGGTGAGCTTGTAGGCAGGCTGGCGCGAGATGACTAGAATGTGTCGCCCGTCGTCTCTCGTCGAGTCGCTGCCCCGCCCGACGTGCACGTCGGCGCCTCCAACCGCCCACCCCCCCACACTGCCACCATCTCCCTGTCAAATTATGTCAAAGTCAACTCAACTTCCTCAGCCGTTTGTACTGCCAGGAGACTGTATACTATACAAATTTACGTCTTAACTCGAAATTATCGTAAGTTGGGGCAATCGTAAGTCGAGGTGCCACTGTATATATACATATATATACAGTATATATATAATTTAAATATCATTTTTAAAATATTAGTTAACAAGAACAAAATTATTTTCTTTCTAATTTTTTTTTATGAGGTGGGAAGACATTCTGAGGGTAGGGCCCCAATTTTCAGCTTATTAGAATTTATTGCCTATTTTTTCCTGAACATTCCATCATTTTCTCTATAAATTCAAAGCATTTTTTTAAACGCTGTGCATATTAGTGGCTTTAGGCATTGTATGTACTAGCTCTATCTAGAAATCCAACATTATGTTTGTAACTCATCTTGTATGTATGAACTTTTACCTTAATAAACATTTTATTTGATTTGAATTCTGTCAAAATGCAACACTGTGGAGGGGATTAATAATAAAATTACTTTTCCTCACTTTAGTTTTGTAAGCATAGAGTGTAGATCCATCGAGGACAAGGACTCTCTTGGCCCAGGTGCCAAGGCGCTTCCTCTGCTCGACCTCTACTGACACCTTTGCTCGCACTGCCACCACGCTGTACGTCTCTAAACTGCCACCACCACCAAACAGAAAGAAAGCGAGTTATGTTCAACTACTGTACATACAAAACTTCCATTTGTGAAAGTTTAAAACATTGCACATCATTATACTGTGTGTATGTGTATAATATATATATATATATATATATATATATATATATATATATATATATATATATATATATATATATATATATAAAATGTGTAATGTATTAACAAAAAAAAAAAAAGACTTTTTGTGTAATGACTTTTTGAATAAAGTTGGATAAATATACACACATACCAAAAGAATAGGGGTGGTAGGAGAAGAAAATATCAAAGTGTTCAGTGAGGATCCACAAGGTCTTCTCTGAGTACTCTTTATTTTCTTCTCCGAGGCTATGGGTCCCTGCACATGTGCACCAGAGGTGGTACCCCTATATTTAAAAAAAAAAATTATTATATATATATATATATATATATATATATATATATATATATATATATATATATATATATATATATATATATATATATATATATATATATATATATATATATATATATATATATATATATATATATATATATATATATATATATATATATATATATATATATATATATATATATATATATATATATATATATATATATATATATATATATATATATATATGTGTTCTTGAATATGACCAAAAGGGGTAAGATTAATGATTCTAAAACGAATCTTCTCAATATTTCTTATGTTTTTCTTCACTGTGAAGGGAAGTTGAAAAATTAACTCCCCCATGTTAATCCATAAATATAGCGTGAAATTTTCACACTATATTTATGGACTGATGAGTAGGGAAGTTTTTCACAAGGCACTCCTTACATTTTCAAAGACTAATTTTCCATACTCTGCCAATGCTTATATTCGCTTTGGGCGAGATGATACAAGACATGATCATAGATACAAATCAGAAGATACAATTTACTACAAAAACAAATAAGACGGGAAACCTACTTATGAAGAACTCTCCAGACACCAAACAGAACGCCTTAAGAGAGGCCAACGTCATCTACGCCTTCACATGCCCGCTTGGGGACTGTCGGCCCCAAAAATCTCAGTACATAGGCAAGACAACAACGTCTCTTTCTAGGCAATTAACAATGCTCAAGCAACAGGGCTCCATCAAGGAGCATATAATCTCCTCACATAACCAGACCATCACCAGAGAAACCTTAACAAACAACACGGAAATTATCGACAGGTACAATGGCAAAAGGAGACTCGACATCAGCGAGGCCCTACACATCAAAAAGTCAAAACCAGCAATCAACAGCCAATTAATACATAATTACATTCTACCCACTTCAAGACCTCGAACCAACACAGAAGCTTGAAGATAGAACACACAATGAGCTATAATACCCAATGTGCCACTGATCCACTTGTTCATCTCAATCTTGTCCTGTATCACCTCACCCCAAGTGAATATAAGCATTGGCAGAGCAAACATTGTAAGGCTTTAAGGTTTAAATTCACTCTGCACATTTGAGTTATGGGAAAGCTGTATGTGTAGGCACATGCAAGTCAACTAAGCTTAGCTGTAATTTGTACTTAGTAACAAATAGGTGTTCCTACTTGTAACTATTTAAATAGTTACTTTATGGTACTTACTTTGTTACTTACTTTATGTACTTTGTTGTTTCCTTTATGCTACTTCTTTATGGTACATACTTTATGGTACATACATTGTTCCTTGTTACTTACTATTGTGTTTTTTATGTAAGTTACTTAGTTATACAGTATATATTAGTTATCATATCTGTTATGAAACTATTTTACTTTGGTTTACTTGTAACTTTATTGTAAGTTTTCTGTAAGTTAGTCTATATTATATTACCATATTTGTATATGTACTTTATATTATGAATTTTTACTATTAAAAGTCCCCATACATGTCGTGTTTCCTTTAAGCTCAGAAAATGTATGTATGATATATATACATGTAATGAATGCTTTTTTTAATGAGAAAATGCATGATCTTATTTTTGTAAACAAATGTCATTCAATCGCTGAAATATACAACAGGTAAGACGTATATTTTAAGTAACACATATCAATAAATATATATATATATAAACCAAAATAGCGTTAAGACATCTCAAGTGAACATTAAGTAAGATAACTGCAAACTTCGTCTCGTGACTTACGTTGTGAGCTTCTTTGTCTTCATCTTCGTCGTTCAGAGATATTTGCTTCCGGTGAGAACAACACTTGCTTGTTACATGGGAGCGACAGTGATGGCCTTTGTTAGCGCTGATCGGGGTCTTCGTTAGCGCTGATTGGGGCCTTCGTTAGCGCTGATTGGGGCCTTCGTTAGCGCTGATCGGGGCTTTCGTTATCGCTGATTGGGCATTTGTTGCGCTGATCGGGCCTTTGTTAGCGATGATCGGGCCTTTGTTAGCGATGATCGGACCTTTGTTGGAGTTAATCGGGCCTTTGTTAGCACTGATCGGGCCTTCGTTAGTGCTGATCGGGCCTTCGTTAGCACTGATCGGGATCTACATCTGGTTGTTGGAGTGCCAATTCTCTATACAAGTCAGTGTCTCCTTTACTAGACTTATTTCCATGTCCTCTTTTCAGAGTTTGGCCCTAGCAAAGCTAACTGGGTACACCGCCCTCTCACTTTCACCTCACTTTCCATCATATTCTCCCCGGTCACTCCCCTCTTGAACAAATAAGCAACTGGGGAGTACTAATTTTTAAACTCAGTACGAAAGTCCTGTCCCTTTCTCTTCCTACAAGAAGAAAATTCCAGCTCATTTCACTTTCTTGGGATTATTCGTGATTCCACACTTTGAATTATTAAATATTCCTACAGTTGTAAGTGTAATCAAAGATTACATCGTTACAGTTCAAAACACTATCCTCTGAAGATTTTTCTTAGATGTTTAGCCTGTTAAGAGTCAGGAGCGTCTGAGACAGGCACTCAACTTGTACTTGTTTTGTGTTAAAAGACATAAGTACAGGCAAGGGGATATTCGAGAAAACTCTTACTGGGAGAACAGTATGAATTCATTACTTCATACATTAAATTAAACGATTGCAAAAATATTTACATATTTACATTTGTAAATATATATACGTGTGAAGATATATACTCGAGAAAACAGCATTTCCACGCTTCTACCACATTTCAGCACGCTTCCAACACAATCCTATCAAACTTCTAACATAATCCTATGAAACTTCCAACACACTCCTAACAAGCTTTAAACACTTAACAAGCTTCCAATACACTCCAAGCAACCTTCTAACACTCTCTTACCAAGCTTTTAACACACTGCTAGCAAGCCTCAAACTCACTCCTATCAAACTAGCAAGATACTAATAGCAAGCCATATCATGGAAGTTATATGACTGTAAAACTTTCAAAACTCAATTTTCAATTCCGTTACGCTCACGCACAACATTGAGATTTAAAAACGTCGAAAGGCTTCGGTTAGAAGTAGAAAAAGAAGATTTTATATTGAACATAATACATATGTTCTTTTTTATCCAAACGATTTTGAGAAATTTTAGGAGGGGAGAGTTTGGCACAGTGTCACACACCACCAAGATATTTTTCTACGCGTAACCCAACCTGTACATGTTGGGCATGTACCCAATTGCAATTACTCGTTAAAATTAGAATCAATGTAATAAAGCAAGGAAAGGATGGTAAGGTACATGGCAGGTCACGCCCCAGTAAGCACTTCTCAGGGGATGTAAACACAATCACTTACGTCTTGCCAACTCTTACTTTGAAGTCTAATAAATAGAGAGATTTAGGGGTTTTTCTAGACAGAAAACTATCACCTGAGGATCACATTAAGAACATTGTGCGAGGGGCCTATGCTACACTTTCTAACTTCAGAATTGCTTTTAAATATAGGGATGGCAAAATATTAAAGAAATTGTTCACGACTTTTGTTAGACCAAAGGTGGAATATGCAGCGGTTGTGTGGTGCCCATATCTTAAGAAGCATATCAACAAACTGGAAAAGGTGCAACAACATACACTAAGTGGCTCCCAGAACTGAAGGATAAGAGCTATGAGGAGAGGTTAGAGGCATTAAATATGCCAAAACTAGAAGACAGAAGAAAAAGAGGTGATATGATCACTACGTACAAAATAGTAACAGGTATTGATAAAATTGATAGGGAAGATTTTCTGAGACCTGGAACTTCAACAACAAGTGGTAATTGATTTAAACTAACTAAACACAGATGCCGAAGAAATATAACAACATTCACTTTCGCAGAGTGGTAGATGGTTGGAGCAAGTTAGGTGAGAAGGTGGTGGAGGCCAAGACCGTCAGTAGTTTCAAAGCGTTATATGACAGAGTGCTGGGAAGACGGGACACCACGAGCGTAGCTCTCATCCTGTAACTACACTTAGGTAATTACACACACACAATGTTATGTACTCATTGTCAGGTTTCAGTTTTCCATTAGTAGCCTAGAGTAACCACGCAAGCAAGACGTCAGTCATAATTTATATGCAGCAGCCCAGCGGAGCACCTTGACACACGGGTGGCGGGGATGTGACAAGAGGTTATGACAGGCACAAGTGTTGCTGGTTTTGGTGGGTGTGGCAGTTGGTTGTGTGCTACTTCACTACACCAGATGGTGAGGGAGGCTGTGAGAGATGTCTACACCAGATGGTAAGGGAGGCTGTGAGAGATGTCTACCACCAGATGGTGAGGGAGGCTGTGAGAGATGTCTACACCAGATGGTGAGGGAGGCTGTGAGATGTCTACACCAGATGGTGAGGGAGGCTGTGAGATGTCTACACCAGATGGTGAGGGAGGCTGTGAGAGATGTCTACACCAGATGGTAAGGAAGGCTGTGTGAGAGATGTCTACACCAGATGGTAAGGGAGGCTGTGAGAGATGTCTACACCAGATGGTAAGGAAGGCTGTGAGAGATGTCTACACCAGATGGTAAGGGAGGCTGTGAGAGATGTCTACACCAGATGGTAAGGGAGGCTGTGAGAGATGTCTACACCAGATGGTAAGGGAGGCTGTGAGAGATGTCTACACCAGATGGTGAGGGAGGCTGTGAGAGATGTCTACACCAGATGGGGAGGGAGGCTGTGAGAGATGTCTACACCAGATGGTAAGGGAGGCTGTGAGAGATGTCTACACCAGATGGTAAGGGAGGCTGTGAGAGATGTCTACACCAGATGGGGAGGGGGGCCCCAAGACAGAAACAGAAAACGAAACAACGTGAACGATAAGTTTTGGCGCCACGGCTGATGAGGGCGGCCCCGGAGCGTCGCACTGGCTACTCTACTAATGACTGTAAGAGGCGTTATCGAGGTAGATATTGATTTAGGACCCGACCACCCTCTTCGTGAGGCTCTGGGGCTGTCACAACAACTCCCAACATCAACACTTGCATCATAGAAGAAATTATTGAAGTCCAATCATCCTTAGTCAAATCACTATTGCCAGTCTATGTGATATAGTGGTAAGACACTCGCCTGGCGTTCCGCAAGCGCTTTGTCATGGGTTCGTATCCTGGCCAGGGAGGATTTACTGGGCGCAAATCCTTAATGGTAATAAGAGAAGGGCACTATCAAGAGAAAGCGCCAAGCCATTACGACTATACAACACCAGGGAGGGATCAGGATAAGGGGTTTGGGATGGGACGGGGGAAGGGGGGGGATATGCCCAACCACTTGGACAGTCGGGAATTGAACGCCGAACTGCATGAAGCAAGACCGTCGCTCTACCGTCCAGCCCAAGGGGCAATAAGAGAAAGTAACACATCTTTCCCGAGGATGGTACAAATTGACTATCGATTTTTTTTTTTTGGAGATATATACAAAGAGTTGTTACATTCTTGTACAGCGACTAGTACGCGTAGCGTTTCGGGCAGGTCCCTGGAATACGATCCCCGCCGCGAAGAATCGTTGTTACATCCAAGTACTCATTTTACTATTGAGTTAAACAGAGGCTACAGTTAATTACACCAGTTTTCTTATTTTGCCAAAATACAAGAGAATCATTTAAAATTTCGTTACACATCTTTCGATTGTATTTAGGGTACCACTGTTTACCCTACTTCTCAACTTTCCACATAAATGACGAATAAGCTACTGGTAGCCTATTATGACGATATACCCAGCAGTAAAAGTAGGTAGGCTACTGGTAGTCTATTATGACGATATGCCCAGCAGTAAAAGTAGGTAGGCTACTGGTAGTCTATTATGACGATATACCCAGCAGTAAAAGTAGGTAGGCTACTGGTAGTCTATTATGACGATATACCCAGCAGTAAAAGTAGGTAGGCTACTGGTAGTCTATTATGTACCAGCAGTAGAGGTGGGGTAGGCTACTAGCAGTAGCCTGTCTATTACGCCACTATATCCGGTAAGGTTAGATTAAGTAATTTTTGGATGTTATGTTATATTACGTTATTAAGTCTTTACAAGCACGAGCCCAAAATGTCTCACTCCGTTATGTTCAGTACAAATATTATAGTAAGTATAGAGACTGTCGACTCGTTTCAATCGACTTGAGAATGGTCCAGGACGGACCGAAACGTCGTCGTCGTCCCTTCACCTTCTAGTGTGTGGTCTGGTCAATATAGACTCTCGATGGAATGTACAAAATATTGACTGTTGTATCCCAAAAACAGTTCACGTTTCGTATTGTTTCTACAGTAAAGGGCATCACGTGAACTTTAATAGCCTAACCTAATCTGTCTACAGGTTACAGTAAGGTCCACACACGATCGTCACTGCAGGTTACTGTGAGGTTCACACACGATCGTCACTGCAGGTTACTGTGAGGTTCACACACGATCGTCACTGCAGGTTACTGTGAGGTTCACACACGATCGTCACTGCAGGTTACTGTGAGGTTTACACACACACTGGACACTGCAGGTTACTGTGAGGTTCACACACGATCGTCACTGCAGGTTACTGTGAGGTTCACACACACTGGACACTACAGGTTACTGTGAGGTTCACACACGATCGTCACTGCAGGTTACTGTGAGGTTCACACACGATCGTCACTGCAGGTTACTGTGAGGTTCACACACGATCGTCACTGCAGGTTACTGTGAGGTTCACACACGATCGTCACTGCAGGTTACTGTGAGGTTCACACACGATCGTCACTGCAGGTTACTGTGAGGTTCACACACGATCGTCACTGCAGGTTACTGTGAGGTTCACACACGATCGTCACTGCAGGTTACTGTGAGGTTCACACACGGTCGTCACTGCAGGTTACTGTGAGGTTCACACACACTGGACACTACAGGTTACTGTGAGGTTCACAGACACTGGACACTACAGGTTACAGTAAGGTTCACAGACACTGGACACTACAGGTTACTGTAAGGTTCACAGACACTGGACACTACATATGGTGTCCTCGTCTGTACACATCTTACTCCACCCGTTATCTTCTCTCGTTATCATTTCATTGTCTTGCTTTCATTTTCTCATTCGTCATTCTTTAATATTTTAATACCCTCTCTTTTTAATATCTTTGGGGATTATTTTATATCTTTATTATTTATTTTTACGTTAAACTTTCATTATTTATGTAAAACTGTTTTCCGTTAGTAATTGCAGATGTTCACTGGGTACTCACTCATACATATTTAATCTTTCATTCACTAATTTACTACATAAGTTAACTGACTAACTCACCTTCGTGACTCACAACATGAACTCACTCACAAGATCTCTGAATAACACTCCAAATAGGGTTTAATAGGCGAGATTAAATAAGAGGTTCGCTCCACCCTTAGATTAGCTGACCTCAGCACACTATTAATGGTGATAGGCTATCACAGGCCTCTGCTCTTATGGCAGTTAATCTAGAATAAATATGCTCTCTCTCTCTCTCTCTCTCTCTCTCTCTCTCTCTCTCTCTCTCTCTCTCTCTC